CCACAGACTCTTGACTAGTAAAGACTATGCTTGGCTAAAAATGTCGTAAGACAACGTAAAATCAGCCGCATCACCGTGAGCGGAATGGAAATGTCCGCTTACACGTGAGGACATTATTAACATGTCAGGACTGCACAGATCCACGACTCACGAGAGCTGTTCTCACAGTCCAGGCAATAATGATCCTGATGTTGAAGGTCTGGTCATTCCAACTCTATCAGCATCTAGGCCTATATATTATTTAAACTTACAGTTATTATAAATGGAAATTACATTAGGCTAGTTATAGTTTCCTTTTAACAACACTATTATTTTAACATAGATATGGATTTGAAGTAATTTCATGATTTTTATTTGAGCTAATATTGTCATGCCACTGGGTGGTACACTAATTTCTAAAAACGGAAAATGTATTAGGAAATATTGTAGATGTTTCTTTTTTTTCCCCAGAAAGTTTTGACGTTTCAAACAGAACATTATCCTGAAAATACTGTATTAAATGGTAATCAGTTTATAGCTTTATTTTACTGTGTCCTCAATATAATTTATAAAACATGGGAATTATATTAGGCTAGTTTGTTCATTTAACATAGATATGGATTTGAAGTAATTTAATGATTTTTATTTGAGCTAATATTGTCATGCCACTGGGTGGTACACTAATTTCTAAAAACTGAAAATGTATTAGGAAATATTGTAGATGTTTCTTTTTTTTTCCCAGAAAGTTTTGACGTTTCAAACAGAACATTATCCTGAAAATACTGTATTAAATGGTAATCAGTTTATAGCTTTATTTTACTGTGTCCTCAATATAATTTATAAAACATGGGAATTATATTAGGCTAGTTTGTTCATTTGTTTTAGTTTTTTACCACATCAATATTTAAACATAGAAATTGATTTAAAGTAATTTCATGACTTATTTGAGTGGATATTGCCATTTTTGTAATGTTCCCGGGTGCTGGACTAATTTATAACTTGAAAAAGTGACAATTTATTAAGAAATATTGCAGGTATTTCTTCATTTTTTTCACATTTTCAAAATATTTTTAACAGAATATATTTCCCCGAGAATAGTGTATTAAGAGGTAATCAGTTTATAGTTTTATTTTACTCTGTCCTCAATATCAGTTATTAAACATGGAAATCATATTAGGCTAGTTAGTTTTCCTTTATCACAACAGTAATATTATTCCAACATGGATTTAAAGTAATTTCACGACTTTTCTTTGAATGGATATTGCCATTTTTGTCATGTCGCCGGTTGCTGCACTAATTTGAAACTTGAAAAACTGTTTATTTAGAATTATTGCCAGTATTTTTTTCACATTGATGAAGTGTTTCGAACAGAACATATTTTCATGAGAATATCATTTTAATTGGTAATCAATTCTTATTTTTATGTGACTTTTCATGTTTTTTTTTTTGTTTTTTTTTGTAATATTCCTTTAACAAAATCCAATTACATAATCCTTCAGGAAGTGACATCGTTTTAGTAGGAAAATAACAGCACCACCATCAGTGATGTATTAGCAATTGATTTGATGAATTTTGTGATATTATTTGGTTTGTCACAAAAATCCAGTATTAATTGTGTGTGTGTTTGAGTAAAGAGAAAACAAAATGCACAGAGAAGATTATCACATTTAATAATACTTGGCAAGCACTTGGTGAGGCATTGTGGGAGGAAAATAACACCCATAATTTAATCAAAGATACAGATTGACAGAAATTGTACTTGTATGACTTGAAGTACTATAATAATACGTACATAATTTGTATTATATTTTAATGTCATATTTTTCTCATATTCTATTAGTTACAACAATAGAAGTGTCAATATGCTCAAAATACACATCTAAAGTGCACTTAAGTCATTGGCCATGCAGCAAATAAAGTGTCAATAACATTTCAAAAGCACTTGAAAATTACCACCGGCCTTCTGAAACAAGACTTACAGGCGTCTTAGAGGCCTCAAGGGCCCATCTATCCCTGAGTGAGAGGTTTGATTGGACCTAATCTCTCTTAGTGCAGTTCTAAGGTCAGTACGATGGACTTCAGATCCTGAACAAAATGAGAGAAACCAAAAACTATTCAAGCTGTCATATTTCACCCTAGAAGCAAAAGCAGGTGACATTTCTATTCTGTAGGAGACGAATGAGACTTTTTCGAGGCTTTGTTTTTCTTTCTGAACTCTTATATATAGTAAAAGTGCCCTCGTCTATATTTTTAAACAAACAATAAATCTGGGTTAAGTATAATTCCGCATTAGATCTCATGCCCTTGTAGCGAATCAGCTCATGGGGAAATATGAATAATTAATCATAACTAGTTATAATTAATTATAAATATTTAGATCCGCTGTAGATATTATAAGCCTGATGTCTCAGTGCTGGAGCGCATTCAAAACAGGGAGTAGCAGTACCATAAAAAGCCATCCGCATATATACACACACACACACATTCACACAATCTCTGAGCATAGACTGAGATTAGTGTAGGGCTGGACGATATGGCCAAAATTTATATCACGATATATTTCTTAATTTCGGTCGATACGATATCA